CCCCCCCCCCCGCCCCGGTGTCCTGTGGGGATCTCCGGGTCCCCCCCTTCCGGTGAGCCCCCTCCCCATGGTTTTATCTTCTGACTAATCCAAGCCCTGGAATCTTGCAAGACCCAGTTGGTTCCTGGGTCACCAACTCTGGCCAGCCCCAGCTGCACCCCAGGGCTCACAGATGAGCTGGGCTCAGCCTTGAAGTCACAGAAATCAAACAAGGTTGTAAAAGGGGGGGGGGGGCGTTCCTGGGCTTGGAGCAGGGCCACGTGACCCTTCTTGGACCGCAAAATGTGCCGGATGGATTTAAACAGTGCCGTCTTAAGGCACGTTATGTAACTGAAAAACAGATCAGGGGAAGGAGGGACGGGGGAGGGAGGGGGGGGGGAAGGAGGGGAGATTGGGGGGAATGAAAAACATCCCCTAGAGAAGCCAGGGGCTGGTTCTGCTTGAAGGGGGGGGGGCGTGCAAGCCGGGGATGGTTGGGGGAGCACTGAGGGGGCCAGCTCTGCTCTTCCCTGGTACCTGACTTGGATGGGGGGTTGCTGGCCCAGCAGGATGCCTTCTAGAAATAATTCTTGGCCTGGGGGCCGGTTTAGTTCTGGACTGCCTGGCAGGCCCCGGAGCACACCCAGGAGCTGGCAGGTGTGCGTGTTCCTGGCTCTGAGCCTGGTGCCTGTGCCCACTGCTGGGTTGGAATGTTTTGCCTGGAGTCAGTCACACCATATCCAGGGCCACAGCTACAGCGTGTGTGTGTGGGTTGGGAGGGGGGCAGACAAGCATTCCCCGAGACATCACTGGCAGGCTGGGAGCTGGTGGCTGTTGTGGGAAGGGAGGCTATCAGGCCGGGAGCCTGAGTTTTCAGGAAACACACAGGAAGCTCTCCCGGAGAATGAATGGCATAGTCCTCGAAGCAGTCGCTTTGGGGGTGGGGGGCCCTGACTCCCTGGTGCCCTGTCCTGTCTGCAGGGCCGGTTGATTGGGTCCGACGAGTGGCCAGGGACTGCAGCATGTGCTGGCCTCAAGGGGAGTGTCCTGGGCACCAGGGGCCTGGCTGTCTCGGGTGGGAATCCAGGTGGGAATCCAAGAGGCGTGTTTGTGAACCCCCCGCCGGCAGCCTGCATCCTGGGATCGGGGCGGCTGGCCGCGGGGGCTGCTCTGGGGGAGCTAGCCTCCTTCAGGCTGGAGGAGACCTCCCTCTGTGGCCACACATCAAGGGCCGGTTTACCAGGAGTGCACTGAGCCATGCCCACCGTGCAGCCCGCCAAGTCCCCCCTCACACCCCCATCCGGCTTCCCCAGAGGCAGGACGTGGGGTGGGAGCCAGACCAAGGAGTGCCAGCTCTTTTGTTCTGTCCCCGTGCCCTCAGGCGAAGCACGTGCCCCCCCACCCCAGCATCTGTAGAATGGAGACAGTCGTGTCTGCTCTCCTGAGCTTGGGTTGGGGGTGGAGGGGAGCACAGAATGATTTTCAGACCCGGAGGAGTGCTTTGAGGTGCAGACAGATGAAGGGACTGCATCCTGTCCTTCCCAGGTCAGAAGGACAACCGTCCTGGAGACAAATTCCAGCTCACATTCCCACTGCGGACCAACTACATGTATGCCAAGGTGAAGAAGAGCCTGCCGGAGATGTACGCCTTCACGGTGTGCATGTGGCTTAAGTCCAGCGCCGCGCCCGGGGTGGGCACCCCCTTCTCCTACGCCGTGCCTGGCCAGGCCAACGAGCTGGTTCTCATTGAGTGGGGCAACAATCCCATGGAGATCCTCATCAACGACAAGGTAGAGCAGCCCCGCCCCCTCCAGCCACCTGGGCTTATAGGAAGGCACAGTGAGGCCCCCAGGCCCGCCTGGCTGCTGGGGCAGGTGCCTGGGGCTGGGGGGGGAGTGGTGGGCATGAGAGACACAGCCACAGATGCAGCTGTGGTCCCAACAGAAGTGCCCACCAGGCAGGACTGAGGGAGGTGGAGGGTGAGGACAGGGGGAAACGGAGAGGGGCGCCCTGGCCCTACTCGAAAGAGGGTGAAGCTGGAACTTTCTCAGACCCAGGCTTCCCGGGGAAGGCAGGGGAAGATCCACAGGGCAGATCAGACCCTGGGTCCTCCTCCCCGAGCTGGCCTCAGGGCTGGCTTTGCTCCTGTGGGAAGGACCATAGATGTTCCGCGGTGAGTCAAGGTGCCCCAATCTGTCGTGCTCAAGCCCCCACCGCTGGGAGGAGGCCAGATGCACGCAGCGCCCTGGAGAGTCCGCCTTTTCCCTCCAGGGAGCCTTCTCCATCCTGGTCCTGTACAGCTGTGGAGGGAGCTGCCGGGTTTCCAACACCCCTGAGGCAGCATTGGCAGGAAATCTCTAAAACCCAGGCTGGGGATTGGAATCCAAACCCCTGCTGTTGACGCCTCGGCCAGAAAGGGCTGTTCCTCTCTGGGCGAGTTAAAGGGTGGGCAGGTTCCCTCGTCTGGTCTGCTGCATCTGCTGTGCTGGCTGTCCCCTCGGGAATGTGAGAGAGGGAGGGAAACCCCAGGCCGCAGGCTGGCCTGAGCTTTAAAGGCGTGGTGCCATGCCCCCCCCCCACCCACCCCCGGCGTCTGAGCCTCTGCAGAGGCTGCACGGGTGTAGACCCAGCAGGTCTGGCAGTCGGCGGCGGCGTTGCAGGAGGGAGGAGAGGCCCCAGGCGGCAGCAGTGAGCTGAGACCCCAGCGGTGGGATGCTCCTTCCCGAGGGCTGGTTCTGTAGGACCAGCCAAGAGGGAGGAGGGCCACAAGGGGTGAGGACGTTGCGCACTCAGACCGGTCTTAGGAGCCCCTTGCCACATCGTCACATTTCCTGTGTGACTCCAAGGTCCATGGAGGGATGGGGCTGACGGGCGCTAAGGCCCAGAGGGGCAGGTGCTGAGAGAGTTCAGTAATGGTGTTTACTGGCAACGTAGGGACGAGAAGAGAAGCAGTTGGACTGGTAAGTAGTCCCTGTACCCATGATGTTGCGTGTGGCGTCCTTCCCAGGTGGCCAAGCTGCCCTTTGTAATCAATGATGGCAAGTGGCATCACATCTGTGTCACCTGGACCACCCGGGACGGGGTCTGGGAAGCCTACCAGGACGGCACCCAGGGTGGCAATGGCGAGAACCTGGCGCCCTATCACCCCATCAAGCCCCAGGGTGTGCTGGTGCTGGGCCAGGAGCAGGTACTGGCCTTGGGGAGGGGGTGCCGGCTGCAGGGGAAGGAGCCCCAGAAGCGGAGAAGGGAGGGGGGCCGGGGGGAGGGAGTGGGAGCGGGGAGTGGCTCCCCCACCCCCAGAGGGAGCCAAGAGAAGCAGGTTCGGCAGCACTGGGCAGAGAGCGCGCTCTGGGTGGCCTCCTGGGGGGGAAGTTCGGTGGGGCGGCCGCAGCTGCGTCTCTGACACAGGAAAGCAAGCCTGCCCTTAGGGTTGCGGGATGCGTTACCTGAGAGGGATCGGTCTCCCCCTGGGGCACCCGCAGGGAAGGCACGGGGGAGGGTCCCAGGCCTTCCAGGCCTTCTGCTCCCGTGGGGCTCTGCAGGGAGAGCGGCTCCCCTCACTGGCCGAGGGGGAGGCGGAGTCCAGGCGCCCCCAGGAAAAGCTCTGCATCCCGAGCGGAGGTGGCCAGTAGTGTCCCTTTTCCCGGGCACCCCATGGGAGGGGGACCAAGGTCTGGCTGGAGACCCAGAGATGGGATAGAATGGGGCGTGGGAGGCAGATGCGAGAGCCCCTAGTGGGGGAGACGTGGAGACGTGGCCCCTGGGGACGCCCCCCCCCCCGAGAGACCCTCACCGTCTGCTCTTCTCTGAAGGACACCCTGGGTGGTGGGTTTGATGCCACCCAGGCGTTCGTGGGCGAGCTGGCCCATTTCAACATCTGGGACCGCAAGCTGACCCCCGGGGAGGTATATAACCTCGCCACCTGCAGCACCAAGGCCCTCTCCGGCAACGTCATCGCCTGGGCCGAGTCCCACATCGAGATCTACGGCGGGGCCACCAAGTGGACATTCGAAGCCTGTCGCCAGATCAACTGAGGCTCCTGGCGGCCGAGCCTCCCGCCCCTCGGGCCGGCCCGCCCGCCTCCCCCCTGCTTGTGCGGTGGCGACCTGTCTTGTGTCTCCTTCTCTCCCTCTCCCCAGGAGCGACTCAGGCCCTCCCCCTCGCACGCGCTCGCACGCAGCCTGGTTTGTCCTTGTGCCCGGGAAGCAGGTCCCGCTGCCCCCCCCCCCCCAGGAGCCCACGCCCCGGGCCTCAGGCCTGCTTGTGCTCCCGCGGGCGCGGTGCGGATGTAGGTGAGACAGCGTGTGTGTCTCCGGGTGTGTGTCTGTGGGGACGAGCGAGGTGGTCTGTGTGCTGCGGGGAGAATCTCACGACTGGTGGGAAGACTCTAGTAGCTGCCCGCGGGCCCCCGTGGGTGGCCCGTGTGGCTTCTTCAACACACGCGCTTGTCTTTGTTTGCAAACCTTTTCCGGGGGCGCAGTTCTCCACCGGTAAAATAAATGTCTTCTGGTGGTTTGTTTGCTCGGGGCCGGGGCCCTCCCCTCAGAGAATTTCTCTTTTGTCATAGGAGTGGATTCTCTCTTGCTCTCCGGGGGTGGGCAGAGGTGGGGGGGTGGCCCCGGGAACCGGGCACCCCACCCCCACCCCCGGTGCCCGGCCAGCAAGCTTACAGTTGGCATCCGAGGGCAGCGGTGCTGGGCCTGGGAAGCTGCTTTGCTGGCTCTGGCCCAGGACAGCGCCTCAGCCCCCAGTCTGCTTGCCTCCTAGCCCCCTTCGAGGCTGGGATCTGTCCCCCTCTTTTGGCTGCCGGCTGGTGCCCCTGAGAGAGGAGTGTCCCTCCCACAGTCCAGGAAGTCTTGGCTTCCGGCCGTGGGAGACCAGAGGGTCCTCCAAGGAGGCAGGGCCTCCAGAGGCCTCTCACGGGGAGCCAGACTCAGACACGGCCAGCCAGCCCCCCCCCCCTTCTTTCCAGGGCTCAGGTCCTGGAGCAGCCGCCAGCGTGTCACCGGCTGGTGACACCGAGACACGACCAGCGTCCAGACCTTTAACTTTATTCTCCCCCGTGAAAAGCAAACATACACATTTCCTTCTAGTCCTTCCGAGGCGGGGAGAAAATGTGTGTGTGTGTGTGTGTGTGTGTGTGTGTGTGTGTGTGTTGAGAGAGAGAGAGAGAGAGAGAGAGAGAGAGAGAAGAAGCACACTAAGACAGATCATACCCAAGGCGAGGTGAGCTCCCTGCTGGGTTCCATCTGGGGGTCACACGCCTTGAGGGCACCCTGGGTTCTGTCACCAGGAGTCTAATTAGCAAAAGGCTGGCGAGTCTTTCTAGAAATTCTACCGCACTGCCTGGCTCATCTACAGCTGCAGACATTTCTTCCGGAGGCGCAGGTGTGCCTTCAGGGACACCTGTCTCCTTAAACGCAGGTCCGTGTTGCGTCGGGAACCGCGTGCGTCTGTGTGTGTCTGTGTTGGTGTCTCCGTGTTTGTGTCCCCGTGGTGTCGCCACGGCACCCGGTCGCCGTTCCGCGGCGCGTCGCTCTTGTCTGGAGGGTGCGGGCCAGGCGCAACGCTGTGTGCCGTGGCTCAACAGTGGCTTTCTCTGAGAACCCTGTGCTTCGTCCCAGCCCGTCGGGTCGTGGCGTCTCTGGATCTGCAGGGATCTTCTCCGTTTGCATGTTCCTTGGGGTGGCGTGTCCCTTGCTCCTTCAGTCTGATGTGTGTCCCCTGCCTGCATGGACTTCTGGTTCTGTGTTGTGTGCCCAGTGCTACCCATTGTTCCGTGACCATCCGTGTAGCTACCGAAAATGGCCGGATAAACAAGCCACGGGTGTCGGGGGAGGTCAAGGGAGGGATCCGTTTCCCTCTCCCCGTCCCCACTCCCCAAACACACCAAGAAGTATTTTTTAACATGTAGGTTGACAAGGAGCCTAAACAGAGCCCATGGTTGGGACAGAGCGAGAGCTTGGAATCACCCCTCGAGACCAGATTGGCCCCACCCCCCACTTCAGCCACCTCCGAGCCGTTGCTTAGGCAAAGGCCCAGAGGGTGCTGGGTGCTCTCCTGTCAGCACCTCCCACCAGCCCCTGCCGATCGGCCGGACCCCAGACCACCTTCTGCCCCCGCCGCGGGCGTGGTGGGAGCCGTCCGTTTAGGACCACAAGCCATCCTCTGCCCTAACTAGAGATGGGCAGAGCATACCCCTAGACGCTTATGCCTACGTCCCTCTGGCCTCCTGACCCCGTTCACCTTCCTCGCCCTCCTCCCCTGAAGCACCCACGGTGCCAGGGACGGAGGCTGGCATCTGGCTCCCTCCCCGCCCCCAGCCGGAACGCGTGCCAAGCCCCTTGACTCCCTCACTGTGTTAACACTTGGCACTTTGCTGGCCCCGAGAAAGGTCGATTGACAGGCACAAATGTATCCCACGTAGTGTTCATGTACTCCTTAATCTGATCGACGCTCCCTCTTGCACTGAATAACCCACACCTATCTCAGGTAAGCCATTTTATAAAATAGGAAGAAACCCAGCACTGCGGAGGCAGTGTCTGCTCTTCTGAGCTGGTGTCCCACAGAACCCCGGGCGTCCGGGGCCGGGGAGCTGCCGCCAGGGGCGCCCCGGGCCCTCGGGGCTTAGATCCCACTTGAATCGTAAGCCTTCCTGCTTTTGATAACACAGTATTATTTCTCTTACTGTAGAAGAAAAAGTTTATTACCAAACGAGTATTTTTATGAAAGAAAAGGACAAACCTATAAATTAACTCAACCTATATCTCCCTTGAAAACACTTTCAGGCTCCGCCAAAACGTAGGACTGAAAGCGTGTATTTTGGAAGAAAGAGATACATTTTGTATGCTTTCTTTTCCTTTTGTAGACTCCCAGTTTATTTTCTAAGACTGCAAAGATCACTTTGTCACCAGCCCTGGGACCTGAGACCAAGGGGGTGTCTTGTGGGCAGTGAAGGGGAGGGGAGAGGCTGGCGGGAGGCTCCAGACAGGGGCCACCTGTGCCCAAAGGCGTGTCGGGGGGACCGGGATGGAAATTGGCCGTTTACGGCGGACCCTCTGCCGTGGAGCTGACTTGTTGACGCGAGGACCCGTCCCACTCGGGGTGGAGGCAGCTAGGGCAACGGACGTTAACGCAAAGAGGACAGTATCCTTCGTGATCTCATGGCAACCAAAACAACGTGGCTGGCACAGCCATGGTTTCATCTCTTAAAACACAGTGTGTAAATTTAGTCACAACCAACGTTGGGAAGTGTATCCCATCCATGCACAGTGGACTTAAGTGCAACTTGTTAAAAGGGAACAAGTCATTGAGGAGGAAAAAAAAAAAAAGCCCAATACTTAGAGTCCCAATTTTTTTTTATTTCCCAAAAAAAAAAAAAAAAAAAAAAAAAAATCCAAAAAGCAAACCCCCCCTACGGTTGATGTTGTTATAATGTACATACTGTATAATATGAAAGAAAATCAATGTACCTTAATTTTTCATTATTTGCTAACCAAAGCTGTACATTTTTCATATGATCTGCAGCCTTTTGGGTATCAAATGGGTCAAAACCATGGGACCTGCCACCTGCCATCAGAAATTCTGGAAATGCACTATTTCTACTGGTATTGCTTTTTTTTTTTTTTTTTTCATTTTCTTGCTGAAACGACATGAATTGTTGAGTTTATTTTTACACAGTAAAGAGTGAAGAAAGACTGTGGTCTCCTTGGGGTGTCTCTTTTCTCAAGCCTGCGTATGCCATCTCCACCTGCCCCAGGGGGCCTCCCAGGGACCCCTCTCCCTCAGGAACATGCAGGCACAGCCCGGGGGTGGAGAGGGGGTCGCCCCGGGTTCATAGGTGCGAGAGAGGGAAGCGGTGTCCCCGCGTGGCGAGGCCCGCCCTGGGCTCGGGGTGCAGAGGAACTCCCCGTTCCGCCCCTCACCCCTGCGCCGCTGCTCTGTGCCCCGCGGACGCACTACCCCACGGCACAGCCGGGCGAGGTTCCAGACGGCCTTCACTCGTTCTTCCCAAACAGCCCCGCTCTGTTCTCCTTTGCCACATCACCGCTGACTGGATCTCGGCCAACGTCTGGCTACCTCCCCTTTTCTGGGGTTCCGGGGCCCCTTCCCTGCACTCAAGTGGAGAGCATCCTCAGGGTCACGTAACAGGGAGTGGGTGATGCGGGAACCCCGGGCACCGGGAAGAACTTTCTTCCCCGCCCCTCGCGAACCAGGCTAGACTGTGGACAGAGAGCTTGTGAGCTGTTCTAAGGGACAAAGTGACCGGGAACCAAAATAGTCCACTTGGCTGATCAGTCTCCCCAAACCCCAGAGCGCGCACCTGCACACACACACACACACACACACACACACACACACGGGGGCCTAGCAGAAGGAGTGAGTCCCTCTGGCTTCTTGCTGTCATGGCCGAGTGCGCCTTGGCCGCAGACCTCCTGCCCAGTGCAGTGGTGTTTCTCTGTTCGGGACTCGGGGGCCGGGGCTTGGGGCACGTGAGCCCGCTGCCTGGTGGCACAGGAGGAGGGTGGTGTCCGCCCGCAGGCTTCACGCGTGGCCCCTGTGGCCGGGCCCCGGGTTGTGCCCAATTCCGGCCACCGCGTCCTTGCCTGGTTACAGCTGCCGTAACGTCACCCTCCCGTTTCTCGTTTCCATGAAGAGCTCATCCCAAACCTCGGGTGTTTTAACTCTCATTAGAAACAAATTACTTTCCACACGCCTCGCGCCTGGTCCCGGCACACCCCTGAATGACGCCGGGAGGCCTTAGAGCCGAGCACAGCCACTCAGGGGGAAGCGGCCAGGCTCACAGTCCAGCCGGCTGATGTGGGAGTCTGAGCATGGGACACAGGATTAGAGTTCAAAGCGAGAGTGTGCCTTGGAAGTCAGTGGTTCCAACAGCCCCTCGGATGCCGGAACCAGTTCTCGGCTTGCACACCTCTAGTGACGGGGAGCTCACTGCCCCGCTTTCAGACGGCTCCGTCAGGGGGTTTGTTCCCTATTTGTTATCTTCCTTGTGCCTTGTGCTCAGGTCCCTACCCTGGCCTGTCCCCCCACGTGAAGACACGTGCGCCCGGAGTCTTCGCCACCCCATCTCCTCAGCCACCAAACCACACTGTGCAAGGGGCTCCCTGTGTGATTTGCAGCCCTGTCTAACTCTGCCCTTGAGGAGGGAGAAATGCCGTGCCCAAGGCCTGGAAGATGTCTGGGCCGGGAAAGCCTCAGGGACCAACTAGTTCAACCCGTCCACTCTTTGGGTGAAGAGATCGCGGCCCGGAGAGGCCGTGTTCAAAGCCACACAGCTCGCGTGTGCGGGCTGGACTCGGAACCCAGGAACTCAGGATTGCTCCCCACAGTCCCTTCCCATGGACCCTTCCCTCCCAGGGCACTAAATACCCACGAGGAGCTGGGAAATGTGGCCCAGGCTGGGGGTGGTCCTCCGGAGGTTGGGCTGCGGATGGACGTGTCAGCTGCAGCCCTGGGGTCCGATGGCCCCGAGGGAATGTGGTCTGTGCGTAGCATATTGGCCGCGAGGCAGTTCTCAGCCCCGGGCAGCTCCCGAGAGCTGCTCCCCGCAGCCGTCCCCACCAGCACCCAGGACCCCAGAGGCTCAGCCCTCCTGTCTCTCCTGCATGGCTGACCTGCTCCGACGCTTGTCAAACTGCCTCCCTTGACGCCCCCTCAAGGGGCAGCAGAGAAGCGTAGACCACCCCCTGGAGGGTCTGGGGCGGGGCTCGACGCACAGGATCTGTTTGACCTTAAACTGCATCCTTCTCCACATTAGATCCCGCCCTGTCCCCTGTCCCGTCCTTGCTCTGGCAAGCTGGCGGGCATGGCCCCCAGCACAGAAAGACAGGGTAGGGCCAGACGGTCTCCGCAGTCCCTTTGGGCTCTCCCTGGGGCCGAAGGACCCGTCTCCCCAGTGCATGGGTACCAGTGCAGTCCCTCGGCCCCAACCCCCTGCTCACACAGGACCTCTGCCCCCGCCCCCGCCACTTTCTTGTGTCCCCTGCCTCGCCTGTGTCCCACAGCCATGGGACCTGCCCTCACCAGACCTTCCCACAATGTTGGCTGTCCCCTCAGGGTCCCTGTTGTCCTTCCTCAAACCCTCAGGCCAGGCCCCTGCCCTCTCGACCACACATGAGTTCACATCTCTGATCATCGGTAGTGGACCCAGGTCATACTCTCTCCCCAGAAGTTTCTTAGCCACCAAATAGATCAGGGTGCACGTAACTCCTCAGGGTGGGGACCGCACGTCGGAGGTCCGGAGCGCAGAGCCCCTTGCTGTGACCCAGTCCCACACCCTGCACGAGCTAGACTCCCATCCCGGACAACGTGGAATCCTGCGGTCTCTCCTCCAGGCCGGGCGCAGGGCACGGGGAGGCAGAAAGCCATGAACAAGTCCTTAGAAACACATTCGTTTATTCACGAAGGACATACTTCCTGAGCACCTACCGTGAGCAGGCACCTGGGCCAGGTGCCTAGCTGGTGGTCTGCAGGCCGAGGAGGGCACGTCTCTGGAGGGTTCCTGGCCGGCTCCCATGGCGGGGGAGGGCAGGGAGGGTTGGTGTGAGTGCGCAGGCTTCCATGCCTGTAAGACATTGCCAAGGAAGCCGTCTGTCCCCTGTTTGATTTCTGTGCTTCTCAATTCAGGCCAAGGTGGGGGGCCATCTGCTAAAGTGGGCACAGATGAAACATTTTCGCTGTGCAGAAAATTGGCTTCTGAGGGGAGGCTGTGTGCTCAGCACAGAAGCAGCCTGCAGAGTTGTGCCAGAGGCGCTGGGCAGGGCTCGGCTGCAGGGAGAGAGGGATCCGAGTGGGTTTGGGCTGCGGGAACGCCCCTGCGGCGCCCCTCCCCACCCCTGCTGCGCTCGGGCCCAGACCGACCAGGGGCACCAAGTCACTTCTTAAAACATAGGGGCCGTTGGGGGCACCTGGGTGGCTCAGTCGGTCGAGTACTTAACTCTTGATTTCGGCTCAGGTCATGATCTATCTGACGTTTGGTTCGTGGGTTTGAGTCCCACGTCGGGCTCTGTGCTGACAGCACGGAGCCTGTTTGGGATTCTCCCTCTCTTTCTCTCTCTCTGCCCCTCCCCCACCCACACGCACACTCTATCAAAACAGATAGACATGAAAAAACGTTTTTAAAATTGCGGTAAATACATATAACATAAGGTTTAATGTCATTGGAGTGTGCAATTCACTGGCTTTAATTATATTCACAACGTTGTGCGATCACCGCCACTATCTAGTCCTAAAACATCCTCCCAAACAGAAACTCTGTCTCCATTTTTTAAATGTCTACTAATTTTTTGAGAGAGGGCGGTGGGGAGACAGAGAGAGCATGAGCAGGGGAGGGGCAGAGACAGAGGGAGACACAGAATCCCAAGCAGGCTCCAGGCTCGGAGCCAGCAGCACAGAGCCCGACGCGGGGCTCGAACCCACGAACTGCGAGATCACGACCAGAGCTGAACTCAGATGCTCAACCGGCTGAGCCCCCCAGGTGCAAAACTCTGTCCCCATTAAACATTAACGCCCCCACCCCACCCTCCCCCAGCCACGGGTACCCTCTAACCCACCGTCCATCCCTGTGAATTTGCCTACACGAGACTCCTCACGTAAGGGGATCAGACAACATTTGTCCTGTTGTGACGGGCTGGCTTTGCTGAACATCGTGTCCTCAGGTTCATCCATGGGGTACCAGGTGTCAGGGTTTCCCTCCTTCCCCTTCCTTTTTCATGGCCGAATAACATTCCACTGCGTGGATGGACCACATCGGGCCCCTCCCTCCGCTCACTAATGGACACGTGAGTTGTTCCCACCTTTCGGCCGTCGTGACCAGTGCGGCTAAGAACACGGCACAC